ATTCACTTAAGCCAAAAAATGTGCTTTCCTATGGAATGCAGCTGCTCACTACCTACATAATCCCTCATTTGTGTCAGCATGACCAAGTAAGAATTCAACCTGCCAGGAGATTTGAGGTTAGTTGGTTTTGGTTACTTACAGGAACATTCCTTTCCACGCAGTAAATGTTGAGCTAGTTACTTACAGCTAATTACAGTGATATAATCAATTCTTGTTACAACTCCACGAATTTCACCAAAACTGTTTCAGTAACTTCTCCCCCACCCCCCCGTTTGCTGTGGTGATGATATAATGAGTTTGTTTGGACATCTGTGTTTATATTATATATATATAAATTCAGTTCCAGCACAAAGGAAGGATGTTTGCTCTTCCCTCTGAACGGTGAAGCTACAATTGTTTCCTCAAAAATTCTCTCTTCTAGAGAGCAGTGTGTGTATGGGTATCTGCGCCTATTTTTAGTAATGTGGGCTTTTAAAAGTGTTTCAGTGAATTTAGAGCATTTCTTAGTAGTAAATTCTTACCACCTAGAATTAAACCCTACCTGAAGCTTGTTGCTGCAAAACTAACCCTATATTAAGTGCTCAGGAAGGTGTCATACCTGTTATCTTTATGTTATGGATTTCATTAAAATCTTAAAAAACCCTTAACCATGAGAATCTTTCTCTCCACCATTTCAGAGCTCGTTGTAGCTGTCACCTACTGAAGATGAATTCAGCTTAAGGCGAGATAGGATTTTACTGCTGTGTTTGAACAGAGAATAGATTTACAGGATGCCTTCTTTTTCCTCAAGCTTGTTGGAAAACAGCATCTTTTCCTGCAGTAATGTTATTTTTCAGACAGCTATTGCTAGTGTCAAATGATTACCCAACTGCTTTATTATTAGAAAATATTAATTAGCTTTGCTGATGAGATAGGAACGTGGACAGCTGTGTCTATTGCATGAGTTGCTTGTCTTCTCTGATCTTTGTGGATGGATTCCCCTCCATTTTGGAGGATACGGATTCTGTACCACATATTTATTAGGCTTAAAACCCCTTTAATAGTGACAGGGTGATGAGGTTTTGCTCAGCTCATCTTCCTCTGACTTCTTTCTGTAGTGTCCAGGCAACACAAGTTATTCCTGGGCACTGAAACACTCACAGAATCCCAGACTGGTTTGCATTGGAAAGGACCTTAAAGCTCATCCAGTCCCACCCCCTGCTTTGGGCAGGGATGGCTTCCACTATCCTAGGTTGCTGCAAGCCCTGCCCAGCCTAGGCTTAGACACTTTCAGGGATGGGGCAGCCACAGCTTCTCTGGGCAACCTGAGGGCCTCACCACCCTCACATGGAAGAATTCCTTCCAATATCTCATCTAACCCTGCTCTCTGTCAGTTGAAAGCCATTCCCCCTTGTCCTGTCACTCCAGGCCCTTGTAAATAGTCTCTCTCCATGTTCCTTGTAGCCCTTTCAGGTCCTGGAAGGCCACAATTAGGTCACTGCAAAGCTGCTCTTATCCAGGCTGAACAATCCCAACTCTTCCAGCCTTTCCTCACAGCAGGGCTGCTCCATCCCTCTGATCACCTTGGTATCTCCTCTGGACTTGCTCCAGCAGATCCATGTCCTTGGTGTGCTGGGCCCCCAGGGCTGGAGGCAGCTCTGCAGGTGGGGTCTCACCTGAGGGGGCAGAGGGGCAGAATCCCCCCTTGCCCTGCTGCCCCCACTGTGGGATCAGCCCAGGGTATGGGGGGTTCTGTGCTGGGCCATGTCCAGCCTCACCCCCACCAGCACCAAGGAAATTCTCCAATTGGGAAACTCACTTGTGTGGCTATGGCTCCACAGGGCGTGAGAGCTGGATTTGGTTGAATTTTGTTAACAGACAAAAAGACCCAAATTCAACCAAACCAGTGCTCTTTTCTTCCCTGTTCCTGCCCTAAGATTCCAGGTGAGTTCACCCCAAAAACTCTCTTTCCTCTGTGGAGGTGCACTTTGGGTGTGCACACATTGAATTTCCGATTATGAAGATTTCCTTTGTTCAAGTCCACAACTTTTTTAGCTCAAACCTTTTCTGTTTTGGATTTTCCCCTCCGTGTACCAGTCGCGACATCTAGTGGCGACATGACATCACGACAGCGCCCGACTTCAGGAAGCTGCTCCAGCTCCCTTTGAATCTTTGGAATTATAAGATAGAACCTGAAGGGTTGGCAGCCACTATCCTGTTCCCCCCGCCAGGGAATTTTAACCCTAACCTTTTTCCTACACAAATGCTAGCAGACCCTGAACCTGTTCTTAGATTGTTACAACATTTTTATGTAAGTTATTGAATTTTCATATGAATTTCTATATAAATAAACATTAATTGAAGCAGTTGAGCCTTTCGGTCATCACACAGATGAACTGCAATGGCAAGAAGGGAGTTGTACACACTCTGACTTCAGTCACATATTTTGAAGCTTTACTGCACTGATAAAAGATGCCCAAACCTGTTTTCAGGTATTTTATCTAGGTAAGGCAGCAGAGAGCTCAGCTCGAGACACCCAACTGACTGCACAGCAGTGAAATGCTGGGAGCGTCCTGAAGGGGTGCCTTCAAATTGGGCAGACTTGCCCCCAAAAATTTAAGTTGTGTTTAATGCTAATTGAAATTGTGGGCTGACAATGGATACATGGTTCAATAATCCCTTCAGGACTCAAACCTATCAAGTTCCGTGTCCAGAACAGGGACCAGAACTGCTGACACAAACACTGTTTCCAGCTCTCCCAGTGACCATTTTCATTGTGGGGAAGGCTCACTTTTCACAATAATGCATTAAAATTCATAGAGTTTCTCCTCCCTCACAGCTTGCTTGAGGGGATGTTTTGATTCCTGATGAATTCAGTACTCCCAGAGAAACACTAGGGTTTGGGGTGGGTTTTTTGGGCCAGATGTAGAAATAAATATAATTTTGGTTTCTATGGGCAGAGTTTTATGTCTGACTCCAGCCCCCCCTCAGTAAGAAGCACAGAACTCATTCAGAACAAGGATTTTATTGACCATCTTGTCAGGACATGGTTTTATGATCTGGGTCTCTCCTTCTTGCCCTTGTACAATGCCAGCAGGGACACGTTGGCCACCTTGACCACCTTGAAGCGGACTCCTGGGATGTCTCCCACAGCGTGGCCCTTGCGCCCGAACCCAGCCACCAGCACCTCATCATTCTCCTGCAAAAACCAAAACCGGGTTGGGGGGTGAACAACTATCAGATCCGTGCACAGATCTGTGATTAACCACCCTTACTTTGGGCTACGCTCCACACTGCCCTTGTCTTACCACCCCAGATTGAATCTGCACACATTAAATGAGAATTAACTGAGTAAATGTATTTATTTTCCACTGCAAAATACAACTTCTAGACAAATTACCTCAATGAAGTTCAGGCAACCATCGTTGGGGACAAAAGCTGTGATTTTCTTGCCGTTCTTAATCAGCTGGACCCTGACACATTTCCTGATGGCAGAGTTGGGCTGCTTGGCTTCTACTCCACTGCAATGAAAATAAGTCAGAGAAAATACTATCTGTTTGATGGACCAGGAGGTTTGTTACACACCCACAAGTTACTATTTTCCCTTGTGTTTAAGTTGATTCTGTACTTCAGAAACTCTGAGCTGGTTACAGCCACTCAATATATAAATACAGAATATTTAATTACTATAACACCATATATCACTATATAATGCACTATCTATAAATGAATATATTTAACATATATCAATATACAGACCACCACTTCTTAAGCAGAGTAAAACTTTAATCACGTACAGACTAATGCAATTTTACTAAAAATTTGAAAAACCACTAAAAACAGGGGAAAACCTTCCAAAAGCTAGAAAATACTGGTCAGAAAAGAGAGTCCTTGCAGCATCCCCATAAGACTTATAAATTATTAAAGAAAAAAACCCCCAAAAAACCAAAAGTGGGTAGGATCTTTGACACAAGACATGCAGTTTTTCTTAGTGTTGTGCCCAAATCCTGATTTTCCTCATCTTATGCAAGGAATAAAAGCGCCTCTTTAAGCTTTGACTAAGTTCCCTATTTTCCCCCAATTCTGGAATAAGTTTTATTTTTTTTTCTCCAATTCGTTCCAATAAAAACTCTTTTCCCCTTAATTTTTATTTAATATCCGTATTTTTTATCAATTTTCGCAAGAAATTCCTGTTTTTCGTCCGATTCTTAAATAATAAATAAATTCCGGTTTTCCCCATTCCAGGACGGGAGCTGCATCCGGGGGTTCTGGAGCCCCATCCCGGAGGTCTCAGCGCCCCATTCCGGGACGCTAGACCCATATCCCAGAGGGTCTGTAGCCCGTTCTAGGGGTTGTGGACCCCCGACCCCGTTAGTGCACCCACACTTTCTCGAGAACGATGCCCTTGGCGTGGGAGGCGCCGCCGAAGGGGTTGGCCTTCAGTGCCGTGCCCAGGTGCGCCTTCTTGTACTGCTTGTCGTGCCACTTCTGGTCGCGGCGGTGGCTGCGCAGCTTCCGAGCCGTGCGGAGGCCTCGGCACTTCCCTGCGGGGAGCGAGGGAAAGGGAGGATGATGCAGGGAAGGGAGGATGACGCGGGGAAGGGAGGATGATGCGGGCCAGGCCGCGAGTGGCAATGGCGAACACGCGGCGGGTAATGGCGGCCGCGGCCCCGCCGCCCTCAGCGCTGCCCGCACAGTACCCACCCGGTTGCGGGCGGGGAGCGCAGAGCCCTGCGGACCCTCCCCGGGATCCCGCAGTCCCAAGCCCAGCCCCAAGCCCAGCCGCAGCCGCGGACCCGCTCCCCGTGCTCACCCATCCTCTCCCTGCGCCTGCTGAGCGAGAAAAGAGGGAAGGAGGCACGCGACCGCCGCCTATACCCGCCCTCGCTAGGACCCGCCGCGGGCTGCCCGCGCCGCGCCTGACAGAAACACGCCGACCGGCACGGCGGCGGGCGGTCCGGCGGGAGCGTAGGCCCCGGGTTCGAGACGCCGTGGGGCAGACGGGCAGGACTGGTTTCCCGCGCTCCGCTCGTTCGAGCCCCGCTTTGACATAAAACCGGGAGAGAAAACTTTAAGACCAGTCGTAGCTTAAAAAAAGGCATTACTTTATCCCCGGGGGCGCCTCCCTGCCTGTCATCCACACCTAGATGCACTTCTGCAGTTTGTATGTGATTTGTTCATGAATATGTCCCAGGAATTCATGCCTGTTCCAAAAGGCCTTATCCATATACTAATTAATTAATTCCATGGGGCTTATTGCACATGTTCGGGGAGGGGTCTCTGGGGGTTGTTTGGGATGGAACCCCTACTTGATTTGTCCTTATTTGTTCCCAAGGACGAGTCGAGGTTGGGCCTGTTCTTTTCTTGTTACCTGTAGCAGCAAAATCAGAGTGTCTGACCCACACAGAGGGACTGCTGGTGATTTACCTCTGACTGAAAAGACCACCATGAGGTGGGAGTCGGAGTCTCCTTGCAAGTAACAAGCAGTAAGACAAGGGGAGATGTCCTCAAGTAGCACCAGGGGAGGTTTAGGTGGGATAAATTGGATTGTCTATCCCTGGCACAGCTGCCCAGGGCAGGGGTAGAGTCCCTATCCCTGGAGGGATTTAAAAGCCCTGTGTATGTGGCACCTGGGGAAATGGGTCCGTTGTGGCCCTAGCAGTGCTGGGGAATGGTTGGAGTCAATGGTCTGAGTGGGCTTTTCCAGCCTAATTGTGAGTCTTACTTCCAGCTTTTCATAGATTCCCAAAATGGTTTGGGTTGGAAGGACCTCAAATCCATCAATCCCACCCTCTGCCATGGGCAGGGACACCTTTCAATGTCCCAGGTTACTCCAAGCCCCGTTCAACCTGGCCTTGAACACTTCCAGGGATGGGGCATCCCCGCTTAAATTGCTGCATTGCCTGTGAGTCCTCCAGTGGATCTGCACCAAAATGAAATCCTGTAACAGAAACCATCTCATATTTCCTGATTTTGAAAGCTGCTGGTAGTCCATGCTACCAAACCGCACCAATCTGACTCCTGAATATTCCCTCCTCTGGAATTACTGTGAAAGGGCAGCAATTAGACCTAAATACATCTTTATTAACACGTCCTGTGCTCATAGCCTAAATAGAAAATACATATTTTGTATGTTGAGGTAGGGCTGGTTTTACACGCAATCTATATAGAATAAATAACAAAAGCATATAAAAAACACCCCCCCACACACACTCCCCTTAAAGAAAAAAAGAAACCAACCAACCCCAAACAAAAACTGTAAATCCCACCAGCAATTCAAGGAGAATACATTACTATTATAAAGAGCAGCTCTTGAAGATGCAGTTCCAATGTCGGGATGCAGTTGCTGTTTGGTGATTTTAAAAACAGGGAAGTTTATATTGTAACAGTGCTGCAGCTTTTGTTTTATAGTGTTAGGAATATTAGGAATACTTAAAAGTTGACTGGAAGGAAGGAAAGTGATGAATATGACATGAATATACTATAACAAACTGGCACTTATTGCACAAATATTCATCAAGACAGAGAGATCTAAGAGAGAGGTGGTTTGAGATGAAGCTACTGTAGGATTTGCGCTTTCTTTTTAAACTGTATGAGGACTTTGGAGCACTTTTAAGACAGCTTTTCTTCATTCCACCATGTTCTGGTTTAACCCTAGATGGTAATTAAACATGACACAGCCTCTTGCTCACTGCCCTGCCCATCCTGGTGGGATGGGGAGGGAATTTAGACAAAAAAGACCTGTGGGTTGAGATAAGAGTAGTTTAATAATGGAAATAAAGTTGTTGTGGTTCTTAATAACAACAACAAGAACAACTATTAATACTATTAATAATACTAACACAAATATAATAATAACAATAACAATAATAGTTAAACACAATGACAGATGTGCTGGCACAAGACATGTTGCTGGAAGGTGCCCCTGCCCATGGAGGGGGTTGGAACGAGGTGCTCTGTGGGCAGCTATGTGGAAAAGGGCTATTTGCTCTGGAGAACACCAGCACTGCTGGATAAGCACTTCTAAAATTAAATGTTTCAGTTGGCCAAGCAGATAAATCCATGAAAAATCCCACCACTTATCTTAAAACTCTTGGTATAATCTGATCTTCGCTGTGAGATATGGTGCCTGGTGTCCTGTGGTGCTGCATGACAAAAGGCAGCCAGGTCCTGAGGTCCTGAACAGACTGAGCTTTTTTTTTCGGTTTGGTTTTTTTTTTTTTTTTTTTTTTTTTTTTTTTTTTTTTTTTTTTTTTTTTTTTTTT